TTTTTAAAATCGAAATAGAAAATTTTCGAAGTCAACCACTTTAAGCTGCCATATCTCCCGCACCCTTATAGCTATCGAGACGCAACCACCATAGTGCACGAATGGAGACTTGGGGCTACTACCACATACAGACACCATTCATGTGTGATGTGTAGTTTTGGCTGAAAAGTGAAATATAGGGACACACACGTCCATTTTTATATATATATATAGATTATACCTAGAACCATATTTAAATAAAAGATGAAAAAAATAATATATCAGAAACATTTTTGGCCTATTGTTTGGTAGCATCAGATAACTTCAACCAAATAAAGTGAAGAGCATATCTACTGTGGACCAGATCAAGGATTTGATGAATATGCTTTTCATTTTAATTCACTATACAGTCAAGCTCACTTGTTATTGCACATTATCAGATATTACAAACATTTTCTGTCTTCTTAAATCTCTAATATGCTATAAATATCAAATATTAAAAGTAATGTCCTCTTGTACCTTGAATCTACTGTCATCTTGGACACATGTGCAGTACTTTCTTTCAAGAACTTTTAAGGAAGAGAGATGAGATAAAACACTTTTAACCTAAAGCACATTGTCCCCTTGAGCATTATGGCTCAAATCCTTCCTTTCAGAAAATTTAAACTAATGATTAATAAGGCATACCTTCTACTTGATAAGAAACAATTCATGAGAGTGATGACTTGATTGTATATGGTCATTAATTCCAGAATTTGGTTTGTCATAATTTGTCTCTGGGAGTCAGTCATGTGCATTGCTGTGTATTTGTATTTCTTACCAACTTTTGGAATTTCTTTTAAGAAATGTTCAGACAAGGATAAAAACAAAAATCACTATCTTTAGAATTTAAAGAGATCATCAAGCTGGTTGATGTAGAATAAATACAAAATTGCAAAACTACTAAAATATTTGGCATTCCATTAAGTTTGCTTTCTTCTATTTTGAAGATATGGTACCATTGTCCTGAGCAGGAAAATGTTTCATGTTTGCAGCTTACAAAGGTATTGAAGATGCCTTGCTGGAAACATTTAAGTATAAGAAGTAGAAATATACTAATCTCAATGAGCCAATATTGAAAAACAAAATTAAAGATTTTGCAAAGCTTTTGGGTAAACCAGTTTTGAGCCTGGAAATGGATGACTCCAATCTTTTAAGGACAGACAACTTTAAAAGAATGATTGTAGAGAATGCATAGACATTGATGATGATGTTTTATAGAGTTGTTGAAATCAAAAAGAAAAGTTAATTGGCCAGTACAATCCATCCAAAATATATAACACTGATGAAACTGAACTTTTTTGCAACTGTTTTTAAGGCATTTGCTCTAAATGATGAAAAATGTTGAGTAGAAAAAAGTTGAAAGTCAGATTAACAATGCTTGCACCACAATCATGATCATCCAAGAAATAAAAATTGTTGATTATCAGGAATTTCAAGAACTCCAGATAATTCGAAGGCTACAGTATTCTGCCAGTTTTCTATCATAAAAACCACAAAGCATGGATGATATTGAACTGTTTGGAGAATGGCTGAGAGAATCTGATGATGAAATGATGCAAAGGCAAGAAAACCCTTTTGTGATAGATAACTGCCTGACACACTCAACCAACATCAAACTAAATTCAATGACAATATATTACTTCCCTCTAAACATAACTTCAAAGCTTGTAGTCCATAAATCAGGGCATCATTAACTCCTTGAAAAAATACACATGGCCATATGTCACATCCTTTTATGTTTGAAGGCTAAACAATCAACAGCTATTGATTGTGTACGAGATTATAATTATTTCTGGCATGAGGTTAGGCCAGAAACAACAAAAAATTGCTGCGAACATGCAGGTTTTAACAAAAATTCAGGCAAATCAGAAGAAAACATACAAACTGTGGAAGAAAAACAGTAGACAAACTTTGGTAACACCTCCAAAAGAGAGAAACTGTACCAAAGTTTTATTTGGAGATAATGTCAATGCTAATCCCAAAGTCATGGCAAAGCATGACATCATAGATCAAGAAATTGTTGCTTGCATTACAAACATTGCATACAGAAATCATTTGTGAACAAAACAAGCTTGAGGTGCCAAAGATTTTATCAAAAGATAACAGTAAAAAGACTTGAGAATTTGCATACTTTCTTTCATCAAAACATTGTAGTTGTTGTGGACAAACATGGACAAAACAGAAAAAAGTACTAATCTTGTACAAAGACGCAGAAAAATTTAATGCACTTTTTCTTATTGATATCATATTAGTACTTTCTGGCTGTCATATCATTCTATTCTTATGAGTACATGTACCTTTATTTTCTTAGTATGTTAACTTTTTTTCCTGTTACATGTATTTGTTAAAAGTTTATTTCCATTTCTTTCAGTATATTTTCATTTTTTGCTTTTCATTGTTTCAGCATATCTGATTATCCTATGTTTGACTTGTATTGTACAATGAATGCCAGTCCATTTATTAAGAAACATTAATATAACAAAATTTTTCTGTTTCCATCAAATTTACTATATATGAGCTCAACTGTAGTTAGCTAAAGCTGATCAAACAATAGGTTGATACAATTCCTAATAAATTATTTTTGGCTTCCTTAACTAGTAGTTTGAGTTTCCTTTTAACTAATGGCCTAGCTGATTCTAATTGATCACAATTTTCCTCCAAAGCAATTGCTACATTATCATCTCAATGTAATTTAAAACAGTTAATATTTTTCTCATATAGCTGTGTAATTCAATCCTCACTAATTAAAAAGTTTGTTTTATTACATATCTTATTCTTTCTTCTGCATTAGTAGTAATTGTTTCTAAATTTGACTTAAAAATACCATATTTTCCTCTTATTATTTCTAACAATATATTTATTAGATATTTTATATATCTATTTTTACTAAAATAAAAAAAATACCTCAAGACAATCAAATGCCTTCAAAAAAAAGAATAAATAGCTATTCAATTATAATAAATTAGAAAAACATATATGTAATAATTAAAAATTTCATTTAATATTAAAAAAAAAGGTCATTCAAATAAAACATTATATTCATAATCATATCATCAAACCTATTTAAACCAACATTGGATGATATTTGAAATATTTTATATGTTCTTGTTAATATTCCTATCAACAGTTAAAGAATCTTATATCATATATATCAGTCTATATACCGACATCCTATCATCAAAATACTTTTGAATTTAAACTATAATTTTTTACAACCTTTTAAACATCTGAATGAAATAAACAAGTATGAAATGCACAAAATATTTTCAAGTTTTTAAAGCAATTATATTCATCACATTCCATAAAAACAAGTTTTAGTAACAGTTAGTAACAGACTAATAGTATTTGATGAACTTGGGCTTAAGAGTAGTTTAATTATTCCAAGAAAGACAAATGGACGAAGATGTAAAAGTTAATACAGTACACCAAAAAAAACAAAATATAGTACATAAAAAAAATGAAAAATGATTCATATCAAATACTAATATTCTGATAGGAATAAAATTAAAATCTAAACTCATAAAAATAATAATCTTTACAGCAGTTTACATGCAGTTAACTGACTATAAAAAAAAAAATATATATATATATATCCTAGAGCAGCAGTCGGCAACCAGTGATCGAACCAGTGATGGTCCGTGAGAAAATTTGGACATTGATCAACTGAAGCTTATGCAAAGTATTACGAAAAAAATGCAAAATGCTTAGTTGCTTTTTTTTCACTCACTGGGGGTTTTTATTTTTATTCAAATCTAAAACCAAATACGAAGCAACTGTTATCAATAAATAATGAACAATAAACAATTGTGAGTGAGATTGTCATCCTTTGTTGAAAAGCACTAAGAATCCATAAACTTATTCCAAGCAAGCAGCAACAAACTTTAGGTTTGCATTAATTTGTTATAATTAAACAAGCAAGTTTTATATTAACATAGTATAATTAAATTTTTATGATCATTATTCTACAGATTTTGTATCATTTAAAAAAATTCATGATAGTGGTCTATGAGATTCAAAATTAGAGAGATTGTGGCCAACGTTTTCAATGCAAAAACATGTACATTGGACATTCAGTGCCGCATTCAGATGCTTGTAAAAGACCAACCTAACTACAGTGTCTTTTGAGAAATAAAAAAAAAAAAAATTCCTGCAAGCCTAGAAGTTTGACAATGGCGTTTGGAACATCGAGCATGATTCCATTGATGTTCCAAATGTCATTGTCAAACTTTAGGCTTACAGGAAGGCAGCACTGAACGTCCAATGTATGCATTTTCACATTGAAAACTTCAGCCACAACCTCCCTATTGCGAGTTCAGTGGTCCTGAGGTCAGAAAGGTTGCAGGCCTTTCTACCTAGAGTACCGATAAATTCGTAAATATAATTTATATGAAAGTAAGTTGTTTCAGTTTTTCAAATTAAGTTCTTGGCATTCAATTTCAAAGGTATACACATTTATATTATAAGTAATAGAGAAAACATATAAATTCAATAGAGACTAAAAACTTTATTTTAAATTTAAAATGTAATTTCTTTCAGTATGAGATATGCATTGCTATTAAAATATGATCTATAAGCGAAGTTGTAATAATCTGCCAACAAGATAACTTATACACTTGTATGTAATAACATATTGTCTTCATTTGTTGTTTAATGATGTCATAAATATTACATTTGAATTCGATAAAATCATATTTTTATACGTATATAAATCTCGAACGTAAGTAAAAATAAAACAGCAGGCAAAATAGCAGGTAAGCGACAACTTATTATATCATCATTCTCATAAACATGACGAATCGACAACACGCACGTGGTACGATTTACGAAGATGAAAACGCGGTCGATCCGACTCACCCGTAAGCACGAGAGTTCTATCGCAGCGCCATCTAACCGTGTCAGAAGGAACTAATAGATGTTACCGTCCTAAACAACGGATGTATTCAACATAGATAGATTTTAAGTATATGTGTCCACATTACCTCCTCCCATTCGTCTTTAGCTTCAATCGGCGTAGTTACGAACAATTTAGATTGATTAATTTTGTTCGTTTCCATCCTAATATAGGATTATTCGTACATTTCTCGCCTGACTTAGTAATACGCTACCTAACACACTAGCGCCATTTTGTGCGCAAGAATACGACATGCTCCAAATATAGTTCCGGTCAATTGCACTATTTTCAGACTGGCGGATAATTATTTTACAACTGCGTCCTTATCACTTCTGAATTGTTTATTTAGTTTTATTTTAATCTCGTCCCATAATCAAATTAAAATTTTGACTGATTTATCGTACTTATTTTAAATAACAACAAAAACATGGCTGAATATATTTTTAATAAATTATTTTTTAAAAATATCGATTATTAATTATTTCGTTTAAAATTTTATAATTGTAATAATTATAATAACGAATAATTTATTAAGAAACGTAAGCATTTCTTGCATAGCATATAATTAAATAATAGTTAAAATATATATGAGTAAATATATATTCATATGTATATATTTTTTTTATTGACACAAGTTAACTGTTTTAATTACAATTTTATACGATAGATGGAAGAATAATCGGTATGACGTAAGCATTAATATTATTACGACATTATAAATTATTAAAATGATCATTTAAATATAACTTTTCGAGTGTCGAATATTAAAAACAGTATAGAAATAATAAATATGACAAATTAGATAATATACTATGGATCTACAAGTGGATAAAACCACCAACGCTGGTAATTGGTGTGGCGTGAACTAGATAATATACTATGGATCTACAAGTGGATAAAACCACCAACGCTGGTAATTGGTGTGGCGCCACACCAACATAATAGGCGTGGAGTTTCACGTGTCTAAGACATAAATAGGGAACAATTTACCATAAAAGTCTTCTCGGCAAATCGCAGATATGTTGCGTTGCTTTGTCCTATAAATAAATTTCTTGGACATTAAGAGAAGCTTCATGACAGACCAATAACGGGTTGGTCAAGTTCTCTATGGATCAATCGAGAAGTGAGACCCTAGGCCTGATAAATCAAAAATGCAGACAAAACTACCGATGGAAATTTTTGAAGATCTAATTTAGATCAAGCCAAGTGTTTTGTTTTCTTCTCTCTGACCTGTTTGCGAACTTTTTCAATCATATCTATCTTAGATTTGGCCAAATCCACAATAGGGACGGCTGCAAGATGAGGGACGAGGTCGGACTTCTTCCGGTCGTATCGATTTTACACAAGAAATTATTTGAATTCATTAGTTATATTGTATAGATAATTTCTGTTATTTTAATCATACTGTAACTTTAAAATATTTTGCATAATCAAATTTTACTAGACTCTATCTTTACCAAATAATTTCTAATCACAAAAAATTTAAGAATAAATACAATTATATATACAGTATGTACAGTACATATCCATATACATTTAGCCGTTTAGCCGTAATATATACCGGGTGGTCAATTTATAACTTCAAATAACTGATAAATATCTTTAAAATAAGCATTTAGTTTAATTTAAATAATTAATTAATTAATTAAAAAATTGATCAAAATAAAAGTTGTTTATTTTCGAGGAGCCTTTTCAATTGCATAATAATTAAGTCACACTCTGTCCTTCTCGTAGAAGGCTGAAAGAAACTTGAGAATTTCAAACTGGAAACTGTTAGATAGATTATATGATTCTATTGTTAAAGAAAAAGTATGATGTACAGGGGCAAACCACTACTAATTTCAGGTGGAGAGCATATATTTTAAAACTACTAAGAATCGTTCCATGCCCAGTGTTGAGACGGTTCCAGTCGGAACTAACAATGCATTCTTCATTTTGTACTTTTATGAATACTGGATCGAGTTCAGTAACGCAGAATGGTAAGTAAGAAATCTGACTAACATGGCGGAGGAAAGAAGTGTTCTGAGTATCCTTGAATGGTGTGCTGAGGGTACTTTCGTAAAGTCAAACGAGTTAAACGCGTTAGAGTTTCATTCGAAAAGTCACCACCGCAGAGCATGTGCACTGGGCGAGACTACTACTTTTCGAACGATTCGTTACTGACGCGTTTAACTCGTTTGACTTTACGAACGTACCCTTAGACTAATCCTCTGTAAAAATGGCGGCCACTTCCGGTAGCAACTGCTCGGAGTACTGACGACTAAAAGAATGCGTGGATAGACAAAACAAGCTGACCGAACTAGTTAGAATTCTAGCAATGGGAGGAAACAAATACTTAGAAAAGAGTTCAACATCGCAGACTTAGCAAGAATTCTGCAATACTGAACACGACTCAGATTCTCACAGAACAATGAACTGTTGTCTGGATTTGAACTTGAACTAAATGAAAATATGATACTAAATTATGATACAGTATATGTATGTATAAAAGCTTTTCTTTATTTTAAATACATTGTTCGAATATTTGCTTAAACTTTTTAAATTAAAAACCTGATGATAGCCTATGGTAGTAGGCTGATGTGAGGACCCAAACGGGGTCCGAAAGCAGGCCATTAACGACTTTTTAAATGAGTCAAGTTTCGTAGTGCGATAGAGCGAACTTAAAGATCGGATTTAAATAATGAACCTTTTGTCTTGTTAAAANTAAGTATCTTTTTAATAGCATTTAATATTAAAAAACAAATAAAAAATTTTTAAAAATTATATAGTGTTAACTACATTTAAAATTTAAGCATTTTTTAAAATTTTTATCGTATTATTAAAACGAATTTTAAAATCTGGCAACACATAATTTTTAGTTTATAGGATATCTGGCAACTTCATTCGTCTGCAACGTGTGTTACATCAGAAATCCAGTTTTGTTGATTGTTGTTTAAAATTCGATCTGCGAAACCTGCAGTTGATAGACTCGTAAAATGACAAGTGAAATTACGAACAATACCGATTTGTTAAGTTTACGTAAGTTAATTTTTATGTAAATAATAATAGAAAGTATGAGATTAAGGCTTGCATATTACTGCCGGCAAGTTGCATCATACAGAAATTGAATTTAATACTGTTTACTCAATATCCTATAACTTTTAACAGAAGTAAAATCCTATTCAGTAAAGTATTTATAAATTTGGATAGGAAATTTTCATTTTAATGAATATGTTAGTTGAAACAGTTATTAAAATGAAACATTTTAAGTTAATGCTTTTGTTTTTTATGGGAAAGTCTTTCCAAAAATTCTCGAAAGTGAAAGTAGATAGTAGTTTCTTGCGTTAGAATCACACGTAATCCTTTTATTAACGTATGGTTCAGAATATTGAAAGCAGAATTCGTTAATTTTCTATGAATTTAAGTCGTAGAAAATATGTAGAAAATTAACGAATTCGATTTTGAAACTTCTGAACCGTACATTAATAGAAGAATTATGTAGGATTCTAATGCCAAAAATTGTTTGGTTCTATCTACTTTTGTCAGTAGATGTTCAACTATGGGTGCGTTTACTTTTTGCTAGTTTCCAAGCTCGCCGAGCTGACACTTAGCACAGCCTGACGTCATACTAGCACGCTTGTAAAAGTATACACAGTAATGGATGCCACCATCTTTGAATAAACTCCAAGCTCGTTGTAAATTTTCCGATCACACCGAGCGCTCTAGGAATGCTAGCAATGACATTATGGGTGCGAAAAGTAAACGTCAGGCTCATTGGTAGCTAATAAAAACTATACAGGCTGAGAGCACTAGGGTCAAGATCTGAGCTAAAAGTAAACGCACCCTATGTAGCCCCAATGGCAGCATTGGTTTAATTAACAACTTAGTCCATGTGACTGTGCAAGCTTGGAGTAGCCCACTTGACTGTTTGTGGAATACTTGATGTTATATAGTTTTAGGGGGACTCACCCCACCCATGTGCTAAGGTGCAAGCACACATCTACATGTGAAACAGGGAGGATAGTTGGAAGACTGATACGTGTTAAAAAGTGATCTTCGGAGACGAATATCACTTGAAGGGTCAACAATTGATGGTGTGATTTATGTAAAAAATACCAAATAAAACATTGATTTTGTTAAAAAAGTAGTGAAAACGACTGTCAGTTTGATAACAGAGGTGCTGTCATTGGGGCTACTTAGGTGAACATTTACCCTTTCGTCAGAGAGTTTTTGGAAAAAGACTTTTCCACGCAGAAAAAGCATTAAATTTTTAACCCCCATCTGCTGGAGATGGCATGCATAACCAGTCAGCCTTAAGACAATTCACTCCCTTTGTAAAGCAGAAATACAAAGATATGTTCCCAGAATGAAAATGTAGGCTGAAATTATTGTTTATTATTACAAGTTTGGTCAGATCCATTGAAAGAAGAAATTGGGATTTTCCTGGGCCTGCAGAAAACTTAGGGTCCATTATAATTCCTACACCTATAAAATTAATGTTATTTTTACTAACAGGAAATAATCTTTAAGACTGTTTTTATTAACATAGAAACATTCTACATATTTCATTTGTTCAAAAAAAAAAGACCAAATGGCAAAAGGGCTCATTGGGAAAGAAATCCTGATCTGATACAAACTCTTAAACATCTTGAGTTTGGTAACAGTTAATGAACAGAGCTGTAGTTATTGATCATATATAAATTTTTTAGATAAGGCTTCCAATATATAATATACAAGAGAAGATAATTTGTTTATAATAAGTCATGAAATGATGCAATTACATTTATGTATTGCTTATGTTGCATTTTCTAATGTAACTTGATTTTGATTTTTGATATCAGCCATAATTGTACTATGCAAATTTGTCAAACTCCATTACATAATCAATTTTAAAATCTGCTGTGACTTAAACTTTTTCTGTTATGGTGGGTGATTGGTTAATGAACATAATTTGTTCCAGGACTTTGTTCGCTATCTGAATTGTTTGTTAACTGATTATCGATTTACCATAGGTTTTTATGGAAATTTGATTAATTCGTTCTGGAGACCCCAAAAAATAAAAAATATATACTTACTATGTTTATTTTATTTTATACAGAAATTAGGAGGCTGTCCATTAATGAATTTGACTTAGCCTCATAGAAGGAAGTAGTGAAGTAAGGGATTAAGTTGTCAAAGATGAAAATGCTAAGAGAAATTTAGAAAAGAGTAGTTAGAAAAAAAGGAGTAAAAGAATTGCATAAATTTGTTACTATGTTTATTTATATGTAATAATAAAAATACATATACACACAGTCTTGCATTTTTA